ATCATTTTAACCTCCATGCCTCTCAACCTCTCCCCAGAAAACGTAGAGTATTGGGCCAGCAAGGTGAAGCTTCTGACATCGACAGTATATCTCACATATCTGTTAAGGATCTGCGAGCGAGGAGGGTTTTCTCTCCTGCTTCCATCATCGAAGCAGAGTGTGGTTCAAACAGAGGTATCAAGGATTTTGATTTGGAAATTGACAGCGTGTTTGAGAGTTCAAATCTTCCAAAACCTGTGTCAGGCAGGGCAAAGTCGTCTGGGATGGATGAAGAGTTTGAGAAATTTAATTTAGGTTTCTGCTGTGTCTCTGAGAATTTAGATAATGAAAAACGTAGTTGTCAATCAGAAAGCCATAGAGAGCCTGTGAGAAATGATAGTGAGGACAAATTACATGAAGAGTCTATTCGGGAAAGAGGAGAAAGTGGAAAATGTCAAGCACATTTCGAAGATGGTAATGGTAGAATTGAGAGTTTGATTGAAGAATGCATTCAGATGACACCGCCAGATGCCAAAATCTCCAGTAAGCCAAAGCTGGATAAAAACGATGATAATGTGGAGAAGATCAATCATAATTTGAATGGGAGTGTTTGCAGGAGGGATGACCGTGGCTTCGATTCCAATAGCAGCATCGAGCAGAGAAAGGAACCCGTTCACAGGATTAAACTGGTAAGCAAGTACTAGTCCATATATTGCTTGTGTTATTGTTTGCAATAAGATCATATTGCTGGTGTGTGTTGGGAGATATAGATTTTTGATTAATTAAGCTGCATCTTCAATTTTATGTAGAATTCATGTACTCGGAGGAAGGTATTTAAAGCTCCAAGTTCATTTAGCTTTCGAAGAATGTTACCTCTCCTTATGGATATCGCCAAAGATGATCCTGGTAATTTTCTTCCTGAATTCCCTACCCGTATTTCAATTTACTTCCAGAATGTTCATGAATTGGATACTATTGTGTATTTCCATGGTGCTTAAAATGCTAATTATGTTTGATGCTCCACTCCTGTAAAGTCTTTCAAAATTTGAGAAATTTGGTTTGGTAATTTGCTGTAGATATCAGAGATGAAATGACAGGAAAACTAATTTCTCCTCCTTGACATTTATTGACGAAGTCCCGGATTCTGATCTTAAAAAACCATCAGAATGGGGTAATAAAGATATTTGATATTGAATTGCGTTTTAAAGACCAAGATTTGAACCAACTGAAAGTGCTTGAAACAGCGTGAAAACTAAATTTCAAAAAATGAGTCAGAAAAGCAGAAAGGAAAGTAAATAAAATTGATGAATTGACTACATAAAATGATCTTATGCCACTACCAGATGCAGACCTCTTCAGCAAACCAGAAGAAAAATATAACAGGAGAACCAAAGAGGACATTAGTTTAAAGGCTGAGGATCATATACCTAAGCAGCCAGTAGAGGATGGCATCTGCACAAATGATGGCATTGCATATGGGAAGCATTATGACAACAGCAATAGGAAGGATGACTCTGCTTCAAAGAGTAAATTGGTAAGAAACTATGAATCTTCAACTTTTCTAAAATAAAATTTGTTAAAAGACAAACAAATTTTCGACTAACTAACTAATTAATCGAGGAGGTGAAGATTTGACTTCACATACTCTATTAGGTAATTTAAATATTTCTCTTGATGTATGGCATTGGCTCTGCTATTGCAGATCCTTAACCCCTGTTCACGGCAGAAGGTATTCAGAACTCCAGGGTCATTCAGCTATAGAAGATTGCTTCCATATCTCACTGATAGTAAAACAGATGATTCCCATGGTTCTCTTGGTAATATCGTCATTTCTTCTCCTACTGTTGTTTGAGCGAAAATTAGGAGCTGCATTTGTATTTTTCATTGAAAGTCATAATACTCTGATGATGTTCTTTTTTAAACAGAATTTCTAGATGACACTAAATGTGGCCAATCCCCAAAAACGGAAAATTTATTGAAGAAAAAGACGGACTTACTGGTTTTGGCTTCACACAATCAAGAAATTTCAACAGATGCAGCCATAACAGACACTTCACCCCTTGATCATTGCATAAAGCCCCCTCCAGATACAAAGGCTTTGGATAAGATCTCTTCTAATTACCAGTTAACGTCGACATCTACTGAAGACCCTGTTGAGCTAGAGATGAAATTTGATTCTCAGAAGGAATGTGTGTCTCAAGTAGAACAGGATATGACCAATGATACCAGAAGCTTGGAGAGCTCCCCTGATGATGTGCATTCTTGTGTTGCAGCTCGAGCTGTGTCATTGTGCTCTCCTAGCAATAATGAAGCTTTGCATACAGAGGGTGCATTGGTGCTCTCTCACTCTGTACATTGTTCAAGTCAAGATGACATTATAGTATTACAGAAGGGGCATTTTAAAGAGGTAAAGTCAACTGAAGCAGCCAAATTGGGCCAAAAATTATCCCAAGTTGAAGCAATTAATCCTTTCAGAGTTCCTGTTGATGGACTAGCAAGGGGAATTCTCAAAAGAAATCCACGAGGATGCAGGGGAATGTGCAACTGTCTAAATTGTGCTTCATTTCATCTTCATGCAGAGAGAGCATTTGAGTTCTCAAGAAACCAGATGCAAGACACAGCAGAAATGACTTTGGAATTGATTAAGGAATTATCAAACCTTCGAAATATGTTGGAGAGTTCCTCCATTGATCTCAATGGTCAATCCATTCTTTACCCTGATCAGGTGAGAAGGAATCAAATATGCATGTTCTTCTTGTTGCTTTTGCTCTCCATCAAGCTGTTGTAATTATAATTGCCTTATCCTAGTCAAACTTGATACTGCGACTATGCATTTGTTGCTTGATATCTTAGCTCATGGCACCTAATTTAGATTTTACCTAGTTGTATAAAATGTGGACTATCATATTTTATTTAATAGAAGGAAGTTAATGAAAAGCTTACAACTTATAATTGCCATACACCATCATGTTGATGGTGTCATCCCCAAGAAGCTGTGTTGGAACGCTGTTTTTACTATTTCTCTTACTTAAAAAACCGAATGGATGTGAGCCTATTGGGAATATCCTAGAAGTTGTTGAATATACAATGCAGTTTGTTGTACAAAAATAGCTAGTATGGTGCTAGGAAAGGAAACTCTTATTCTACTATTATCTGGAACCTAAATTGCTTTTTACTTTTTAGTTGCATTTTGCATCTGTTGGAATGTTCTGTCCCAAGTTTTTAACCATTTCCCTTTATACTCATACCTTTTCTCTGACATTGAATTGAAATTAGCAGCATTGACCTTTTTGTCAAATTATTATCTCGGTGCTCCATATATTGGCAACTGCTGCAGGCTTGACAGTTTATTGGATCTATTTTGTTTATCTCCACTAAAAAAGTAACAACTCAATCATATCAAATTTCACTGAGAAAAAAAAAATTGTTGATCGTTTATTCATTTATTTTACTGTAGGTGAAGGAAGCTTGCACAAAAGCTCTCAGGGCAGAAGAAATGGCACAATGCCATCTTAGACAAATGAATTTTGACGTAAATATTCATTGCAGAAGCATGGTATGTGATTTCTTGCATGCGTTATTACTCAGTCATTTAACTGTTTCCAGAATGCCAGTATTTTTTATATGATCTCTGTATTCTGTGTATGGAATTTAATAGTATAGTCTGTACCTAGAGTATCCAACTAACTGATTCATTTTATTGGCAACAGAGTTTGCATCGGCCAAGGGTGAGTTTTGCCAATAATGTTGAAGAAATAGTCATTCCCAAGGAAGACTTGCCAAGCAGATAGTAAATGAGAAACACAGCGGCAGAAAACAGTAATATGTGAGTTACTGATTTATAATTGATTATATGCATGTCCAGTGTAGATGCATGTAAGGTGAGTATAAAAGCTGGAGTACACCTCAATGTGACAATGTCTTCCTGCTGAGAGTAAACCTATCTCAGCCACAGTACACCTTAATGTGGCATTTTGAAATAAACCTTCTGAAATTGGTACTTCTTCAGGGGAAGCTGCATTGCACATCTGGGTAGCAGCGTTGATGTGTGTTTTGACATAAGATAGAGAAACACGGGGGTCTGTTTATTTTTCCTTCTTTTTCTCTTTCTCCCTCAGTTACCTGGATAGTACATGTGGTTTGATTTCTCGAGCATTTTACTTTGGATCTTCAGATTGAACGAACCAACGTTACAATGCCATCTTGTGTGAATGTGGTAAGCCGTGTAAAATTTCTGTTGAATGTTGCATTTTCGAGGTTAGAACATTGCATTAAAAAATAATTTATGTACGCATCTTTGGTTTCCTTTAATCTGGATGAGTTAAAATGGATGTATTAATGTATTGATTGATTCTATTATAATATTGCATGGACAACATCAACTCAAAATTGGAGAAACGCTGCAAGATGGATGACACTGATTTCATATGTGAAAGAAGAATAGAAGAAAGGGTAATGAGAGTAAAATAGTCATCCATTCTCTGCCCATGTCTAAGGCCTACTTGTATGTCCACCAACTGTAGAAAATAAAAGGCTGTTGCTAGGTATATCAAAAGCTCAATTGGTTGAACCATGTTATCACTGCATCAAGCAACTCTGAACAAAATAACAAAAGCTTAACTTGTGCTTACTTAAACTTGATTCTAATGACATGATTGTTAGTTCAATTGTGCCATTGTTGCTCTGCATCATCATTTACCTTCTCCTTTTTCAATTTTACCCAATTTCTTCAAACTTTAAGATTTGTTGGCATAGATTCCAATTCCACCTCGCTTTCCTGCTCTTGAAAATATTACAGATAATTGATGTTCTTAAACCCTACTGTTTTGTAGATGTTCACATGATATGACTCGTTTGTGATGAATGTGCTTTGACGACAGGAAACGAGGCTTAAGATGATATTCTTTTTAATCAGATGATATTGAGTTGAGTTGAAAAGTACTTCTTGTTGCAGGAATTGCTAAATATATGCTAACTATTGAAAATTCACTAATGAACATTATCTTACACTGATTATTTCATGACAAAAGCATTGCCAGGCCTCTAAGAAACAAGCAAGATAAAGAATAACCCAAAGTGGAATTAAAACAGAGCCTTGTACCACACAAGCATATTATACAATCTCATATTCTCTTTATATATAGGAGCCTTAATTATTTATTTACAGCCTGCACTCAGGAGGAAGGCCTTGAGGGAATCGCTTCCTATCAGTGCAATAGTTGTATATCATGTAATTTTTCTGAACCCATCTGAGCCGTCTTTGGCTGTTGGCATCAAGTTCCTGGCTCTGCCACTCATCTGACATGGTGGAACGAGAGATGCTCTGGACCTTGAAGTTGCGGTAGTAAGCAGTAAAAGGGGCTCTGGTCCAGTCAGTCTTGACCAAGCCACCTCTGGTGGCCCAGTCGTCGGCATTCCACAGGCTAGAGTAGATCCTCATGGGCTGGTTTTTGGGAAAAGGCATACCCACCGACTCCCCATTCCTGAATACTCTTATGGGTGTCTCATCCACCATGAAACTGCATCACAATAAGACAAAGGAATTACTAATTTCGTACTGTGCCAACTTAATATTGCTGACCAAAAAAACAAGCATAGACTTTAAAGTTTTTTTATCTGTAAAGGAAAAGGAAAATCTTACATGATGTGGCGAGGATTCCAGACGATGGAGTAGGTGTGGAAGTTAGTGGTGGGGTCGAACCATAGATAGAACTGCTGCTCTCTGTTGCCCTTGCCTTGAGTGAAGACATTAGTGTGGAGGATGTAAGGGTCTCCGCTTAGGTTTCCCAGGAACTCAAAGTCAATCTCATCGTGTGTTGGCCCCAGGGAAGACAACTGCAGCATATAAACAATATTATTCAATTAACAAGCAGAAGCTGTGTATGATTATGACTCGGAGATACTCTGTTCCAAAAGCAGGGTATTCTTGGAATACATGAATAAAAATTGCTGGGTGAGATTGCACGAGGGCCTTTTTGATCCATGCCTTCTTACACGTGTCCCATGTGCTTAATTTCATATATTTTATTGGGTTCTTATACGACAACTTAGAAAAGACAAAAAAAAAAAAAAAAAAAAGCCATGCTCTGTAGGAGTCAATTAAATAGTAATTTTAATCAAATAAATAATAAGAAGTTAGGAAACATACGTAGTACGCGGTAACAGTTCCAGCGGAGTTGCCAGCAACAAGCTTGAGCTGCATGTCAATCCTCCCGAACAAATACTCTTTCTTTGATTTAAATCCCGAACCAGAGATTTTATCAAGCGACAAAGAGAGAAGCTGACCTCCATTGTATATTTTGGCTCGATGATCACCCCATGTTATGTCAAAGTCCTGATAGAAGTTGCCACCAAATGTGACGTTAACCAAAGAACTAAGTCCTAGAGCTAACAACGACAGCACTGAAAACCTCCTAAAGAAAGAGAAGGCCATTTTAGAGAGAGAGAGATTGAAAATTATACTTTGTTTTGGGTGGGTTGTGGCTTGAGGGGTTAGAAGAGGGGTTGGGTATTTATATAGGAGTGAGGGAGAGGGTGAGGATGATTGGAGATGCTTGTGGGGTGAGAGAGAGGAGGCTAAAGCCTAAATGCTAAAGGCTAAAGCTGGTGCCAGGCTGCCAATGCAGGGGCATGAAATGGGACATTTTGTCTTAGCATTGAATTGGTTCTTTGCATGTTTTTTTAGGTGATTGGGTTCGTAAGGTTTATATATATTATAAGCTAGCCTAAAGGCTAAAGGCGTGGGAAAGGTGAACCCTTTTGGCTATGATTGGTTTTTGAATTTGGATGGAGAAGGTAGAGGGTGGAGTACAACTGGGTAATCCTCTCTCGCCACCAAACTAAAATCCAATTTTTCTCGCTCTCCTGCAATTATTTTGCAGTTTTCTGCTCTTAATTTTATCAACTTTATCCAAAATTATTAATTTTAATAATTTATTAAACTTAAATTCAAATTTTTAGTAATAGTTATTAAGAGTCTTATATACTCTTTATGTTATACTTAACAATTGAGGTAATATGAGATATAATAATCTCACCCACCTATACATTTGATATTCTCGTTAAATTATAAATCTATATTTGTTTATAAATAAAATAAATTTGATAATCGTTTACACTGATAGCATTTACAATAATTAAAGGTTGTTAATTTTAGCAACTTCAATTTTAATAATAAATTCTAAATGTTTAAATTCAAATTGAAGAGTGATAACTCTAAAAAATTTCATCACTAAATGATATTATATTTTAAAACCGATTAATTCAAACTCAATAAGATGTTAAGACTAATGAATCCCAATTTCGTACACTTAATGCTGTATTTTTTTTAAAAAAAAAAAAAAATCATGCTTCTAACTCTCTTTCCTGAATGACAATATCCTTATAAACATTACACAAAATACATGCATGAACCTTTTCTGCAGCAAAAGTAGGCTAAAAGCACTTATTGGTATATCATTCTTCCATAGTTGTATCATCTACATGGTACGGCGTACAATAATTTCAGTACCTTAATTGGTTTGACTGTTATTCAATCATTTTTGTTATGTGTGGGCGAGGGTTTTGAAAATGACTCCTCAACTACTTGGATAAATACTTAGTCTTCTACGTCGATGCGTGGGTCAATACCTTTCAAATATGTTCTTAGAAATTGTTGGTAGGTTAGATAGGGTATAGTCGAATTAGATAAATTTTTAAATAAAATATTTTGACTGTATAATAATTTTGACAATTAATTAATTTGACGAATATGATAAAAGTGATGGCTAGTAGTGGTAATGAGATTAGTATTGTTCAAATAAATTAGATACAGATCGGATAAAATCATCTTACCTTTCCCCCTAATATAGTTTATCCAAATTTGGCCCTACTACTATTCAATCTCTCTCATGCCCGGATTTTATCTGATTATATTTTGTCTGACCTACCAAATATGAATCCGGATAGGATAAGGGTGGATAAACTATCTTTATCCATCTTTATCCAGCTTACCAAACGATCCCTAATTGAGTCAATTAGTCTTCAACTTTATCTTTTAGCAATTATGCCCTTCCAATCATGTTTCTTTTTCTAATTTCATATGGGAATTATAATATGGCTAAGATGTTACACCATGCAAAAAAATTGAGTTTCCATTTTTTTTCTTTCTTTTGTCTTTTTTTGGTTTTAACTTGATTTCCTTTTTCTGCATTAACACTAATTCCATCCATTTTTGGAACAATTTCATCAATTGAAGGTCTAATTCTATTTTCATAAAAGTTAATATAATTTCGTATTTTTCTGCAAAAGATAAATATTCTTTTTTCCATTTTCTAATAAAAGAAATAAAAGAAGATGAGATGGGAAAATGGTTTAAAAACATAATACATGAATGGATGTGGTGAAGTCGCTTTTGTCCAAGTTGTCATGAAGTTGGCATGGCATGGCATGGCATGGCATGGCATGCTATTATTGTAAGAATAGAGGCGTGTTAAATTTTGCTCTCATGACGGGTCACCGACTTGATTAAAATGCCATGAGTCATAAGTAAATACTAAATTAAGAGTCGACGATGGATGCAAACTACCGAATGAAGATGATCAATCAGGTGAGAAGGAGGTGAACAATAATTTTGTGACTGTTTTGGTGAAATTTTTCTCACAATTTTACATTTTAATCCCTAGAAATTTTTAAAATAGCCTCTTAATATTGTTATATTTTATTTCAAATTCTAAGTTTAAAAAATTTATTTTAATTTTATCTATCTATTTTTAGATCTATATTGGTCCTTCAGTAGAGCACATCTGTAAGGACTAAATTTTTTTTGGGAGGGGACAAATTCAGTTTGTATATTAATAATATATATTAAATTTGAAGGGGCCCACAACCCCTCTTCATTGTACGTAGGTCCGTCCATGTCATTTACGTATATGTAAAACACTCACAAAAGAATTCTGTATAGATATTTTGGGGGGAAGGATAACTCTCTACTTGCCTTCCTTTTTATCGTCTCTTTCTCGGGAGGCTCTCGTACATTGTCTCATTTCGAACACCTCCCAAATTCAGATTAGATTGATATTTACTAACACTAAGCCGACTTATCTAGATTTTGTTTATCAGAAAAGTGCTTATTGGAATAAGTTAATTTTTTTTTTTATTTTTTTGGCTAACCCACCTGATAAATGGATTTAGAAACCTTCAATCTGTTTGATAGCCCATGTGAATTATTAAATTTTTTTAAAAAAATCGCCTTATAAATTATCATCTTGCAGAAGTAAAATATATTAAATAAATTGATATAAAACTCCATGAATTATATTGCCTTTTTGTCTATTAAACTTTTAATGTGTTGAAAAATATGAGAAGTATAACAATTGTTACCTCTTAATATCTAAGACATTTAAACCTTTTTTGGCTAAATTAAAACACTCATAAAACAAATCCGCCAAATAGATTTAATAGCTCCAAAGAACTAAGGTCATATTAAATCCATTGAGTCTTAGTATTTTGAACTAATGTATAAAGAGTATTAAGCTCAAAAGGTAAAAGAGAAAAAAAAGAGTTAAAAAATTGATTTGCATTTTTTTCCAACCAAAAATATAAGCTACAAAATATTATACACTCTAATTTTTCCACTTTTTTCATTTATAAAAATCCAAATAGCCAAAATGCTGAATAGTAGCCATTAGTTCATAACATAAACGTTTTTAGAAAAAGGGATTAGAAAAAGTATGAAGAAGAGTGGTGGAAAGAAATTGGAAGGAAAAATGAAAATTTAGAGCAAAAATCTAAAATTTAAGTGTTTAAGTGAAAATTTTTTACTAATGAGATTTATGAGGATTATTAAGGTGTTAATCATAATTTTAGAACAATGGATTGAGGAGTTAAAGAAACATTAGGAAAATTTTAAAAATATGAAATTTGAATGATAGTAAAAGAAAAAGAAAAGAAAAGCAAGAGTTGTAAAAAAAAAAAAAAAATCCCTAGATTATGCACTTGAATTGTAAAAATAATAAGTATAAACTTCAAATAAATAAAATTATGAAAATTTATTTGTGACTTAAGCTAGGTTAGACCTTAAGTTTAGAGGGACTAGAAAGGCATTAGAATGGTTGCTTAGGGCTAGAAGTGGAAATGGAAACTCAAAAGGGTATGAAAGGAAATTAAAGTATAAGAGAGGAGTATTTTCGTCTTTTCACAAGGGGTTGTGGGGCCCCCTCTCCTTGGCCGATCTAAGGGTGTGTAAAAGCCTCCTTGAACCCTCTAGAAGCCCATAAGTCGTGTAAGCCAAGAGGGGAAGAAAGATACAGAGAAAAGAAAGAAAAGTAAGAAAGGAAAGAAAGGAAAAAATATGGAAAATTTTGTGGAATATTTATATTGTTATGAAATTTTCTCCCATTTTCTTGTGATATTGTACAAGTTCTTGTATAACTCTTCCATCTAGCTGATTTGAATCTTAGTTTTAAGCTGCCAAACATGCTGAAACAAGTGAAAAAATTGAAACAATCAAAGGAAGTTTAAGGACAAAATGTCAAAATTTATGGGAATTGGCTTGAGATGTTTTCCCTTTTTTTTTTTTTTTTTTTTTTTTTGAGGAACTTGAATATTTCTATGGGATTATATAAGATTTTGAGGAACATAAGGGAGTTGAAACATGGCATGGCCGAATCTTGAGTGGACAAGAATACACACCACTTTGCAAGATTTTGCACATAAAGTATATAGCTTGATGTTTCTATGATTAAATTGTGAGTTTGGTGAGGTCTATAGGTGGTGGAAATAGAGAGAAAATAGAGGAGAAACAGGGAAGTTGAGTTTGGATGAAAGAAGGAAAGAATTAGTGCAAGAAATATAAAGAAATTGAAAGTAGAATTGAAACTAGAGCTATGTAGGGCTAGTAGAAAATTTTCTGTGCAGTGAACTACTTTGGCCCAATTATTAGAGCCCTAAAATGGGCTTAATTCAAGGACCAATCACTGACTTAAGAGATATATAAACCGAACTAGGATGAGAAGTTAGAAAAGACATCAAATTAAGGGTCAAGCTTGAACTATACAACCATAAACCTAGTTAGAAAAGGGGTAAGCTGTGAGCTGAAAATTTCAGCAGAGAAATTCAGCATTAAGAAACAAATTTTGTGAGGACTCTCAATAGGGAAATAAAATAGAGTAGATTGGAAGATAAAATGGAGACCAAAGAAGGCTAAGATAAAGATGGAAACCTAAGGAAAATTGAGTGAAGTGAGAGCAATAAGAGTGCTGAATTTTTATAGGAAAAGTAGGAATAATTGGTGGAGGATTTTGGGGTTGTTAAGTTATCTTAGAAAGTTAGAAGGATTTACACTTCAAATTTAGAAGATGGTTGATGAAAATTTAGAACAAGAGAATGCCCCTAAGAGCTGGCAATTTAATCTAAAGATTAAGCTAACCAAGGAGTAAAATCTTTATTAAGATTAATTATACAGCCAAAATCTTGAAAGTATGAACTGAATTGCGTTAGTAAAAGAAACTTAATTAAAGACTAATCAAGGACTTAGGGGTACATGAGGTTAATGGAAGAAACACAAGCCAAAAAAGAAAACAAAAACTAAGGCTA